CCACGCAACATGGATTAGCGACACCTGTTTTACACAATCAAAGAGAAGGCTTTCGAGTCGACTAGAACCTATACTTGCGCAACAGCAACATGAATTAGCCATACAGGTGTCAACCAAAGGCAAAGAAAAAGGATGGGAAGGGGATGGGTTGGGTTGAGTGAGTGCGAGCACGGGCCGGCGAGAGCAAGTGGACGGCTGAGCGAGTGAGTGAGTGAGAGTGAATGGGTGGGTGACAACATACGTGGGAAACTATGGGCCCGCATGGACACCCATCCAACCCCCCACCCACACGCACACCCTCTCACCCACACCAACCCCAGCACCCAACAATCCACAAGCCACCCATCCACCCAACCCTCAACCCCCCCAGTCCCAACACACCCACCCACACACCCACCCACCCACCCACACACCCACCCATCCATGCACACCCATCCGCACACACACCCACCCATCCACACCCCTCCCCACCCCCGCACACACCTGGTGGAGAACACGCCATTCCCTGACTGCAGCTTTGACCCCTCTGACGTCATCCCGCCCCCCGGTCCCATCCCCCCTCCGCCTCCGCCTCCCCCTCCCCCTCCCCCTCCCCCCGCGCCCATAGCCCCCCCTTCCCCAGCCTTTGCGCCCCCTCCATCTTCCCCCACTCCCCCGCCTCCCCCTCCCCCTGCGCCTGCTGCTGCTGCCGCCCCTCCCCCATCCCTCTGCTCCGCGTGCATTGCCACTGGCGCCATGCCTGGCGCCATGGCCTGGGGAAGGGGGTCAGGGGACAAGGGCGTATGGGAGGGGAGGGGGACGGGGGAGGGGGAGCGGAAGGAGGGAACAAGAATGAACACGCATCATTCACCCCCCATCTCTGCTCCGCGTGCATTGCCACTGGCGCCATGGCCTGGCAATGTAAGAATAAGGGAGTATTGGGGTGGGTGAAAGGGGGGGAGAGACAGGAGGGAGGTGGGAGAAGGGGAGGGGAGAAAGGGGAGGAGGGTGAAGCGGGACGGAGAGCAATACGGGAGGCGTGTCACTGTGACAGAACAATGGAAGCGCTGGTTACAGGCAGATCCAGTTACCACACACACATGCAAATGGGGTTACCACTCATGGTGGTGACCAGGTTCCCAGTCACGAACCAGCTCGGACTCCAAAAGTGTTACACTCCATATATGCTATACTCCACGCATGTTACACTCCATACATGCTACACTCCACGTATGTTACACTCCATAAGCGTTACATTCCATACACGTTACAGTCCATAAGCGTTACATTGCATACATGTCACACTCCATACGCATACACTTTACACGCCATACACGTTACACCCCATAGTTGTTACATACATACCGAAGGAAGCGTCCATTGATGCTGCAGTCGCTGACGGCATGCCGTATCCATATAGGGCTGCGCGCCCTGCTTTTAACGAGACAGAGTGGGCAGGAGAGTGGAACGGGAAGGAAAAGTGGGAGCATAAGACTGGGAGAAGGGAAAGCGGCAAAGCGAGGAGGGAAGTGATGAGGGAAGTGAGGAGGGAAGTGAGGAGGAAGTGAGGAGGGAAGTAGAGGAGGAAGTAGAGGAAGAGGGAATAAAGAGGGAGAAGAATGGTAAGGCGATGGAAGAAAAAAACGCTAATGTAGGGAAAATAAAACAGGTCATTTGGTGTACATGAATGCATATAAGACAGCTTTTGCTGTATCCATGACAACACAACTCCTAACAGGAACACAGTGGCTTGTACCGAAGCTGCTCTTACCGGGTACATGGCAGCTGCTCTTACCGGGTACATGGCAGTTGCTCTTACCGGGTACATGGCAGCTGCTCTTACCGAGTACATGGCAGCTGCTCTTCCCGGGTACATGGCAGCTGCTCTTACCGAGTACATGACAGCTGCTCTTACCGGGTACATGGCAGCAGGGGGATACATGGGGGCGCCATAGGGGGGAGGCTGGCCGTATGGCGTCATCATGTGCTGCTCGGGGGGAGCGGGGGAGGAGAGAGAGGGGGAGGGGGGAGAGGGGGAGCGGAGGAGAGGAGGGAGGGGGAAGACGGGAAGATGATGGGAGGCTGGCCGTAGGGCGTCATCATGTGCTGCTCGGGGAAGCGGGGGAATCGGGGAAGCGGAGGGAGGGGAAAGGTGAGCCATTGGGCGGCATCACGTGCTACCGCATGGGGAGGGGTTGCGGTGGGAAGCGGATGGAGGGGGGTGGGGGCAGGGGGAGGCGGGAGGGGAGGAGGTGGGAGGAGGGGGAAAGTGAGCCGTGGTAATATCAGGTGCTGCGCGGAGAAAGGGAGGTGGGGGGGGGGGGTGGAGGAGGGTAAGGGGAGGAGGGAGGGGAGTAGACGGGTGGAGGGAGGGGGGTAGACGGGTGGAGGGAGGGGGGTAGACGGGTGGAGGGAGGGGGGTGTGGGTGGAGGGAGGGGGGTAGACGGGTGGAGGGAGGGGGGTGTGGGTGGAGGGAGGGGGGTAGACGGGTGGAGGGAGGGGAAGGTGATGAGCGGGTGGCCGTACGGTGCCATGGGGGAAGGGGGGATCGGGTAGTTGGAGACGCAGAGGGGGAGTGGAGACGCAAAGGGGGAGCGGTGAGGCAAAGGGGGAGAGGGGAGGGTGGAGGGGGAGGGGGAGGGGGAGGGAGAGATAGACTGTGTGGAACTGGCGGGGGAAAAGCAAGGGGCGAGGCTGTGCGGGAAAGGGAGCGACCCAAATGATCTAGTGCGAGCCAAGCTACGCACCTTCCCCCACATGTAGGGATGGCCCTGGAGCGGCGAGGAAGTGAGGGGGGGAGTGGCCGTGGCCCGAAAACAATGCATCGTAAGGCAAGCGACGCACCTGCCCCCACATGTAGGGGTGATGCTGGGGAGCGGCGGCTGCTGCAGGGTAGTACCCCGGCGGTGGCTGCCCCGCCTGCCCGTAGTACGCCTGGCAAGAATGAAGGCATGGCGCACACACGAGGGGACACACGCGCGCGCACACGGGGGGACAAACAGGGGGACACACGCGGGGTCACACGCGGGGCACACGCGGGGCCACTCGAACACGCACACGCACTCGCACACGCACACAAGGGGACGGGATTAGGAAGGGACGCGCGCTGCCATGAGTGGACGGATGGGAAAGACTGTTGTGCGAATTTGACTCGCCCGCCGTGGTTTGAATAGACGATGTCACGCGCAGGCCAGCAAGCCGGCATTGGTTTGGCTCGCCCGCCGGCCGCACTTCGCCAGGCGCCAACTCGACAGGCACCACCTCGACAGGCGCCACCTCGACAGGCACCACCTCGACAGGCACCACCTCGACAGGCACCACCTCGACAGGCGCCACCTCGACAGGCACCACCTCGACAGGCACCACCTCGACAGGCGCCACCACGATAGGCGCGACACCGGGATGGCACGGTATAGAGGGGCATTCAAACTAGACAGCACCACCTCTCTGTCTAGAGAGGCGAGGCATGGCATCCCGCTATGGTTGAACCAACCACAGCTCCTAGCTCAAAAGGTTCGGACAGAAACTGTGAGGCCCTGGCTCAAAACGCGTCGACTGCAGGCCTGGACTGCTCTACAAGGGTAGCTTGCTAGGTGCGGCCGTCGAGGGGCACTCGAACCAGACGACAGAGAGGTGCGGCATGCAGTCCGGCTACATGTAAACCAATCACAGCCTCCAGCTCAGAGGCGTATGGACAGAAAGAGCGAGCTTCCAGCTCAAAACGCGTCAACTGCAGGCTCGGACTTCTCTACAAGGGTCGCTTGCTAGAGCGGCGAGGGGCGCCTGACGCTGGTTACCACAGCTGGCGATCGCTAGTGGTGGCTGGTTGCGACTGGTAACACTGGTAACCTCTGGCTGGTAACGGCGGGTAGTTGCTGGTGGCTGCTACGGCGGGTAGTTGCTGGTAACTCGGGAAAGAGACTGACTACATGTGGTGAGGTTACATGGGCTCTCGAGGCGCCTTACACGAGCGGATATATATATTGGTTACGTGCGTGAGGTTACCTGGAAAGCCGCGGCCCAGTCGGGGTAGCCTGCCGGCATCTGTTGATCCTTGCCATACCCTTGCGCTTCCTGCGGTGAACAGATAATGAATAGGTCGTGAGACAACGCACCGCGACGGAGAACATATGAGTGTTGAGAAACGTGGCGGAGACTACGGGTGTGAGTTGCAGGCGTGAAAAGGTGGCGGAGGAAGTGGAGAAAACTATGAGAATGACTTGCCCGGCAGAGAAGGACACGGTAGATAGACAGTAAACGCTTGAAATAAACAAAATAATAAAATGGTAAAGAAAAAGAGAGAAAAAACGGACCCGAAAGGCAGAGAACGCAAAACCGAAGTTTGCGCTACCTTACTCATCGCGTTTGCCGCTACACCTACGTCAGTCGATCCCATAACAGGCGCTGGAGATGGCGACTTGACTTTCGACGACGCTTTTCGAACGATCAAATTCTTCCTTGGCAGTAATCCTCGAGCTTCGAAAATCCGTGACGCAGCGCGGCTTCGTTAGGCTGCGCTTTCAGAACTTAGAAAACAAGCCAACCTCGGCTCAAGTCAGGAAACGGAAGAAATTAGGGCTTACGTGTGAGAATGGTCCCAGCTCTGAGCAGGGACGCTCCTTACGTGTAAGCACAACAGAGCTTCTCTGCTGTGTAGATGGTGTAGGTGGAGGGGGCGGTTGGCGGACTTTGCGGAGGGCGCGTACTGAGGAGGCAGGAGCGGTTGACCCGCGGGGCTGACTGGGCAATGAGAAGGGCAGGGGGGGAGGATCATGGGCGCAAGTGGGAATGCGGGGCTGGCTGACTGGGTGCTTGTGGGGGAGCGGGAGGCTGACTGGGAGCAACAAGAGAGGAGGCGGGTAATGCGGCACACGGGCGGGCTGACTCAGCGAGGTAAAGGGAAAAGGGGAGGCTGACTGGGCTGCTGTTGGGGGAGGGGGAAGGCTGACTCAGCGAGGTTGGGGAGAGCTGCTCAACTCCGCCAGGCCAGTCTTCCGCAAATGCGTGTGAATGGCTCTGCGCGCGCCAGGAAGCAATTTGGGGAAGGTGAGGGGTAAGAAACATGCATGGCGCAAAGGGGCGGTGGTTTGGCACAGGCATGTGGACGAGGTGATGAGCTGGAAGGCGCTACGCCACCTTGCCAGGTTGGAAAGAGGCCACTTGATGTCTGCGCCAAGGATGGCAATGAGGAATTGAATATAGGAAATACACTCGCACCCAACAACTATCATTTTTTTAGCATATTGGATGTCAAAAAGCTTCAGTAAGTTAGCAGTTGGTCCCAAATGGAACTTTTTTCAGGGCTGTTTGTTCCGCTAAAATGCTCTCCTGAATTCAGAGGAACCTTCTATCCGCCTCGATCACACAGCGAACACGATCTAGCGCAACGTGGCAAAGATCGGTAGAGCATGCATGTGACCAGAAAGCCGCTGATCCTTGCTGTTCTGGAGGACAAGGGCGCGCTTCACAGTGGTCGCGCCAGGAGCCTCAACTCAATTCAGCCTCCCATCAGCCTCTCAAGAGTTTACCGAGATCTGGCGCAGAATAAGACATTTCATGTCATTACGGTTGCCCTTTGCAGGTGGATGCACAAACCGTGCCTGTCTATTCAACTCCGAACACTCCCGAGATTGCATGCGGGTGGTCTCGTGTACGCGTTTCGGTTCGGGATGCAAGGAGGCGGATTGTAAGTGGACTTGATCTTCAACCAAAGTAAATTGCTAGATAGCACAGAGTCTAACAGCATCTAAGTGCATTGGTTTAGAAGACCCAAAGACCTAGTATGCAACTTACAGGCAACTAAGTCTAGAGATCATGTTTCAGAATAGCGGAGAAGGTAACGAAATCTAGTCACTGTGAGCTAAACTCCGATAATATCTAGTTTCAGATACAATACACATAAAAAGCTGATCCAAGTTGCAACCCATAGCACAGCGTTAAACCTTAAAACAGCTCCTCTGAGTTGAACTTGTTGAATGCCTCCTGAAGAACACACAAACACCAAGTCATGGTGTAGCACAGTACAGAGCCCCATGCCATATACCAATCCCACATCAATCAACAAAATCTATGTAGTATCAAAATCTGATTTGGAAGTACGATGAGGGTAAACAGCACGTGGCATGGCATAGCATGGCATATGGCATTGCATTGCATGGCATGGCATATGGCATTGCATTGCATTGCATGGCATGGCATATGGCATTGCATTGCATGGCATGGCATATGGCATTGCATTGCATGGCATGGCATATGGCATTGCATTGCATGGCATGGCATATGGCATTGCATTGCATGGCATATGGCATTGCATTGCATGGCATATGGCATTGCATTGCATGGCATGGCATGGCATATGGCATTGCATTGCATGGCATGGCATATGGCATTGCATTGCATTGCATTGCATGGCATGGCATGTCACGCAGCACGCACCTTGAGCAGGTCGAAGACCTTCTCAGCAATGTACTTCTGCTGCACTGTGGCGCCCTTCTGCTGCACCTTGTCTGGATGCACACACAGCGCTGCCTTGCGGTACGACTTCTTCACTGCTGCCGCACTGCAGGGGGGAAGGGAGGGACGGGGGGAGGGGAAGGGAGGGTGGGTGGATGGGAGGGTGGGCACGTGGGATGCACACACAGCACTGCCTTGCGGTACGATTTCTTCACCGCTGCCGCACTGCAGGGGGGAAGGAAGGGAGGGAGAGAGGGAGGGCGGGAGAGAGGGCCTGGGTACACGGGGGCAGGCGAGAGGGCAGGTGGGCATACAGGAAGCAGGCACAGCGCTGCCTTGCAATAAAGAGGTGACTTTTGAGTCGACTGCTGCCGCACTACAGGGGGAAAAGGAAGGGAGGGAGGGCGGGTAGGTGGGCATATGTGATGCACACACAGCGGTGCCTTGCTATGCACCTTAACCACTGCTGTTGCACTGCAGGGGGGAGTGAGGGTGGGAGGGTGAGGAGGGGGGGGTGTGAGGGCGGGGGGGGGGGGGGGGGGTGAGGGCGAGGGGGGGTGCAGCAGGCAGGCATAACCAGCAGAGCAACACCACCAGCACCAACCCCAACGTGCACCCCATGGCACACCACCGCACCCCATGGCACACCACCGCACCCCATGGCACACCACCACACCCCATGGCACACCACCACACCCCATGGCACACCACCGCACCCCATGGCACACCACCGCACCACATGGCACACCACTCATTCCAAGGCGTCTACCTGAAAATGACTGTGAGCGCCACAGGCTCCCACTTGCACGCACCCCTTGCTGCCATGCCTCAACCAGCATTGCCATACCCCATGGCACATGCCAGTCAACTCCTCTCCCCCCCACACACACGTCAAGCCGTCCCCTGATAATGTCTGTGAGCGCCACAGGCTCCCACTTGCACCCGTTACTGCCATGCCTTGGGCCCGCACCACCAAACACATGCCCCGCCCACCTCACACACACACGTCAAGCCGTCTACCTGATAATGTCTGTGAGCGCCACAGGCTCCCACTTGCACTCTGGCCATAGCACCTGGGGGGGGGCGAGGGGGTGAGGCCGGGAGGAGGGAGGGAAGGAGGGAGTGAGAAAATTTAATCGATCCTGACAGGTACAATACACACCTTACACACACAAACAAGTTGACAGGGTGAGTAGCACACATCGAATGAGTCCGTAATTTCTGGGTAATCTTCACCGATATTTCTGGGTAATATACAGAGGTGACTTTTGAGTCAACTCAAAAGGAGTGAAGGTTGTCAAACCTATTATGGTTTTGTTAATATTCAAAGAAATAACCAGCTTGTCTCACAAGACAAACTATTCCGATCAAACATGTAAGTGGATCACATCGCACAATGAAATAACCAGCTTGACATGAGCTGTTGACAGAAAATTCTGTTCCTGTGTGATGCTGTAATACACTTGCTCACTGAATCGAGGGACGAGAACCAGCAGTGTTGTTCACATGATTGGGCTCACATGATTGGGCTCACATGATTGGGCTCACATGATTGGGCTCACATGATTGGGCTCACATGATTGGGCTCACATGATTGGGCTCACATGATTGGGCTCACAGGATAACCCAAGCAGCAAACTTTGTGAGCTGCTCACAGGATAGCCTAAGCGACTACCAAACTGCCACGTGGGCAGGACCACAACCACAGAAAATATACACCATATAATAGGGATCTAACACGCGGTAGCATCCAAAGAGACTCACAAACTGCAGTGTGGAGAGCAGTGCGCGCAGATTGCCCTCCTTGCCCGCCGCCCACCGCTTGATCTCAATATCCAACATCTCCCCCGCTTTCTGGAGGGAGGGAGGGGGAGGCAGGGCAGAGGACGGAGGGAAGAGGAGGGAGGGGAGGGGGAATAAAAGCACTTGTATTAAGATGGCCACCCCCTGCTACGGATTTCTGCCACCGTCTGATCTCGATATCCAGCATCTCCCCCGCCTTCTGGAAGCGAGAGGTGCGGGGAAAAGGGGGCGAGGGAGGGGGGGAGCGTAGCGGAGTTTTGACCACCACCGCTTGATCTCAATGTCCAGCATCTACTCCCGCTTTTTGGAGGATAGAACAGTTGCGAGGGGGGGGGGAGGGAGCAGGGGAAAGGAAGGAAAATGTTTTTGGGCATTTGTTGCAGCGCTTGCTCTCGATATCCAGCAACCCCCCGGCTTGCTCTCGATATCCAGCAACCCCCCGGCTTGCTCTCGATATCCAGCAACCCCCCGGCTTGCTCTCGATATCCAGCAACCCCCGGCTTGCTCTCGATATCCAGCAACCCCCCGGCTTGCTCTCGATATCCAGCAACCCCCCGGCTTGCTCTCGATATCCAGCAACCCCCCGGCTTGCTCTCGATATCCAGCAACCCCCCGGCTTGCTCTCGATATCCAGCAACCCCCCGGCTTGCTCTCGATATCCAGCAACCCCCCGGCTTGCTCTCGATATCCAGCAACCCCCCGGCTTGCTCTCGATATCCAGCAACCCCCCGGCTTGCTCTCGATATCCAGCAACCCCCCGGCTTGCTCTCGATATCCAGCAACCCCCCGGCTTGCTCTCGATATCCAGCAACCCCCCGGCTTGCTCTCGATATCCAGCAACCCCCCGGCTTGCTCTCGATATCCAGCAACCCCCCGGCTTGCTCTCGATATCCAGCAACCCCCCGGCTTGCTCTCGATATCCAGCAACCCCCCGGCTTGCTCTCGATATCCAGCAACCCCCCGGCTTGCTCTCGATATCCAGCAACCCCCCGGCTTGCTCTCGATATCCAGCAACCCCCCGGCTTGCTCTCGATATCCAGCAACCCCCCGGCTTGCTCTCGATATCCAGCAACCCCCCGGCTTGCTCTCGATATCCAGCAACCCCCCGGCTTGCTCTCGATATCCAGCAACCCCCCGGCTTGCTCTCGATATCCAGCAACCCCCCGGCTTGCTCTCGATATCCAGCAACCCCCCGGCTTGCTCTCGATATCCAGCAACCCCCCGGCTTGCTCTCGATATCCAGCAACCCCCCCGGCTTGCTCTCGATATCCAGCAACCCCCCGGCTTGCTCTCGATATCCAGCAACCCCCCGGCTTGCTCTCGATATCCAGCAACCCCCCGGCTTGCTCTCGATATCCAGCAACCCCCCGGCTTGCTCTCGATATCCAGCAACCCCCCGGCTTGCTCTCGATATCCAGCAACCCCCCGGCTTGCTCTCGATATCCAGCAACCCCCCGGCTTGCTCTCGATATCCAGCAACCCCCCGGCTTGCTCTCGATATCCAGCAACCCCCCCGGCTTGCTCTCGATATCCAGCAACCCCCCGGCTTGCTCTCGATATCCAGCAACCCCCCGGCTTGCTCTCGATATCCAGCAACCCCCCGGCTTGCTCTCGATATCCAGCAACCCCCCCGGCTTGCTCTCGATATCCAGCAACCCCCCGGCTTGCTCTCGATATCCAGCAACCCCCCGGCTTGCTCTCGATATCCAGCAACCCCCCGGCTTGCTCTCGATATCCAGCAACCCCCCGGCTTGCTCTCGATATCCAGCAACCCCCCGGCTTGCTCTCGATATCCAGCAACCCCCCGGCTTGCTCTCGATATCCAGCAACCCCCCGGCTTGCTCTCGATATCCAGCAACCCCCCGGCTTGCTCTCGATATCCAGCAACCCCCCGGCTTGCTCTCGATATCCAGCAACCCCCCGGCTTGCTCTCGATATCCAGCAACCCCCCGGCTTGCTCTCGATATCCAGCAACCCCCCGGCTTGCTCTCGATATCCAGCAACCCCCCGGCTTGCTCTCGATATCCAGCAACCCCCCGGCTTGCTCTCGATATCCAGCAACCCCCCGGCTTGCTCTCGATATCCAGCAACCCCCCGGCTTGCTCTCGATATCCAGCAACCCCCCGGCTTGCTCTCGATATCCAGCAACCCCCCGGCTTGCTCTCGATATCCAGCAACCCCCCGGCTTGCTCTCGATATCCAGCAACCCCCCGGCTTGCTCTCGATATCCAGCAACCCCCCGGCTTGCTCTCGATATCCAGCAACCCCCCGGCTTGCTCTCGATATCCAGCAACCCCCCCGGCTTTCTGGAAGAAAGATAAGCGGATCAGGGGCGGGAGGGGGACAGGGGGCGAGGGAGGGGGACACGGGGCGAGGGAGGGGGACAGGGGGCGAGGGAGGGGGAGGGGAATCTTTACCACACTTGATCTCAATTTGCAGCATCTTGCCAGCTTTCTGGAAGAGGGTGGCGGAATGAGGGGAGAGAGGGGGAGGGGAATTTGTAGCACCGCACCGCGTGATCTCACTCAATATCGCCCGACTTTCCGGAGGAGAATGGAGAGGTGGAGGAAGCGGGGGTAAGGGAGGAAAAGCCCACAAGGGATGGGAACTCTACCACCACCCCTCCCCACCCTTTCCCACCTCCCACCATCCCCCCCCCACCCCTCCCCACCCCTCAGCAATCACATCCCAGTCCTCCTGCTCCTTGGTCCACGTCTCATTCACAATCCCGCCACCTTTAACCATCCAACCATCCAATTCATCCAACCACTCACCACCCCTCCCCACCCCTCAGCACTCACGTGTCGGTCCTCCTTCTCCTTGAGAACGTCCATGTCTCATCCTCACTCCCTCCATTACATCATCCAACCACTCCCCACCCCTCCCACCCCTCTCTCCACCCCTCATCACTCACGTGTCTGTCCTCTTGATCCTTGAGCACGTCCATGTCTCACTCCTTCCTCCAACCAGACAACCACTCCTCACCCCTCCCCACCCCTCTCCACCCCTCATCACTCACGTGTCGGTCCTCCTGCTCCTTCAGAACGTCCATGTCTCGCTTCTTCTTCTCATCCAACGCTGCTGCCTGCCACGGGGCGCAGTTGGGGGAGAGGGGGGAGGGCGGACGGGGGGAAGGGGGGGGGGAAGGGCGGACGGACAGGCAGGAGGGGAGAGAGGGAGGACGGGGAGAAAGGGGGGGGAAGAACGGACGGACGGGGGGGAAGGAGGGGGGAGAGCGGACGGGGGAAGAGGGGGGGTGGGGTGGGTTAAGTGGTGCACAGGAGGAAGGGGGGTCGGTAAGGAGACGGGAGGGAGAAGGAGAAAGGGGCGGACGAGGTGGACGAGTGGAACGAGAAGAAAGGGCGCTATGTGGGGGCGGGGAGAAAGGAGGAAGTTGGGCGGAGCAAGGAAGAGCGCATGTGGGGCGATGAATGAGAGAGACGGAAACCGTGGGGAAAGGGCGGGCGGAAAAAAAAAAAATGTGCGGGAGGGTGGACGAGATTAAGAGAGGGAGGGGGGGATAGCAGAGGTGGGGGAAGATGATGGAAGGGGGGAGGTGGGGGAAAGAGAGAGCTGGGAGGTATTGAGAAGAAAAGATGGGCCCTCTCAGGAGCTTTTTTTAGGCACTTCAAAAAGCAGAGGTGGGGAGTTGAAGGAGAGGGGGAGATGGGGGGAAAGGAGAACCGGGAGATACGGAGAAGGAGGGATTAGACCTCTCAGGAGCTCCTATCCCTGCGCCCCTGCCCTCCCTGCACCCCTGCCCTCCCTGCACCCCTGCCATCCTGCGTCCATGCTTGTGCCCCGTCCCTCAAAGCGGCCCCACACACCACTCTCTCACGACCACCAATCATAACACCGCTCCCTGTACCCCTGCCTGCGTTCCTCCTGCGGCTCTCAACCACCCCTCCCTCACTGTGCCCCCCAACCACCCCTCCCTCACTGTGCCCCCCAACCACCCCTCCCTCCCTGTGCCCCCCAACCACCCCTCCCTCACTGTGCCCCCCAACCACCCCTCCCTCCCTGTGCCCCCCAACCACCCCTCCCTCCCTGTGCCCCCCAACCCCACTCACCGCTCTCTCCTGCAGGCGCTGAAACCGCTCGTATCGCAGCTGCCGCCGCTCCTCACTCTCGCCCTCCACCTCCTGAAACTCGTCCAGCCGACTGCCTCCCCCTGCCCGCGCGCCTGCTGCTGCCCCCCCACCTCCGCCGCCTCCTCCCCCTCCCCCGCCTGGCTCATGTGAAGGGGAACGCGTGACGGGGAAACGGATGAGTAGGAGTGGGGGCAGAGGTAGGGAGAAGGAGAGAGAAAGGGAACAGATGGGATTGAGAGAATGAGGGATTGAAGGGAACATGATTGGGACGTGCGGATTTTTAAGGTGAAGTGGAAATAGATGCTGTGAGAAGCAGAGGGAGAAGGGGGAAATTTGAGGCCCCTCAAAAAGCGCCTCACTACACGTGGCTTCACGATGGTGGAAGTGGAAATAGATGCTGTGAGAGGCAGAGGGAGAGGAGGAGAGGAAGGGAAGGGGAGGGACGGAGGGAGCGTGAAAATGGGGAAAGGATGAGAGGGAAAGGAAGAGTGAGAAACGGAAAAGAAGAGAGGGAACGAGAGGGGAAGGAAGAGAAGGACATGAAGAGAGGAAAAGCAAGAGAGGGAAGGGAGAAGAGAGAGGGGGGGAGGGGGAAGTGGGGGAGGGGGATATGGGGAGGGGAAGAGAGGGGGCGGAAGAGGAAGGAACGGGACGATGGAAACGAACCAAGAATGAGAGAAACACACAGAGAATGTCAGCCCAATTGTCGGCTTTTGAGACGTCCCAAAAGAGGGAAGAACGGGACGATTAAAATGGACCAAGAATGAGAGGAACGCACCGAGGATGTCGGCCCAATCGTCGGCTGAAGAAGGCTGCTGCTTTGGCGGCGCTGGTTGCTGCAGGTGGGTGGGGCGAGGAGGAGAGGAGGGTGGGCGAGAGAGGTTTGGAGAGCTGAGACAGCATGATGAAATTGAGGGAATAAAAAATACAAGAATGCAATACAAAAAAAAGGAGAAAAAAATTCAAAACAAAAACAAAAAACCCATTGAGATAAATGCTAAAATCTAGAGGCAAAGCTGTGTTGTACCCATCAGACGACTGATTGAAATCAGGTACCTGCCCTTCAAGAGCATTAACAGGTGGACCATCGGCCTATCCACCCAGCAACTAACACCCACCCTCACACCACACCACACACCACACCACACACCACACCACACCACACACCACACCATCCAACGCCAGCAACACCAGCCCCAGCTTCAGCACCAGCGCCCACTCACAGAGGCTCTGCTCTTTGCTTCTTGCGCTCGCTGCTGCTGCTGCCTCGCCGCCTCCCTCTCCTTCTCCCGCTGCTTCTCGCTCTCCCTCTGCCTTTGCCTTTCCCTCTCCCTCTCCTCCCGCTCCCTCTCCCTCTCCCTCTCCCTCTCCTTCTCCCGCTCCCGCTCCCTCTCCTTGTCTCTGGCCGCCCGGGCAGCATCAGCCTTCCTCTGTGCGCTCTCCATAGCATCCTTCATAGCAGCAGATGAAGCCGCCGCTGCTGACGCCGAATCCGACGGTGGGGCATACCCGCCACCTGGCACCTCCCCATTGGCCGCCGCTGCTCCCGCCCTCCGCCTCCTAGGCGCCCCCCCCCTCTCCTCCTCCTCCCCTCCCCTCCCACCGCCACCAGCAGCAAACTCATCAAACCCATCCAAACCACCTGCTCCTCCCCCTCTCTGCTCCGACTGCTGCCGTTTCCCTCCTGCTTCCTCCCCTCCCCTCCCGCCTGACCCGCGCCCGCCTGCCCCTGCTACCCCTCCCTCCCCAGCATTCTCAAAGCTCATTTTCCTGGGCATGGGACCATCACCACCACCACCACCGCCAGCAGCAGCATAAGAGGGTGCACTGGACCGGGGGCGGCGGGGTGTGGCAGGAGGTGGGCGGGAGGGCGGAGGAGGGGTGCTGCTGGGGTTGGTTCGAAGAATAACCTCATCAACCGTAATCCACCGATCTCCACCCACTCCTGCCGCTCCCGCTCCTCCTGCTCCTCCTGCTGGCCCGTCACTTCCTCTCCTCGCTCTCTCTCGCTCCTCCCTCTCCCTCTGCCGTTCCCTCTCCATTTCCTTCTCCCTTTCCCTTTCCCTCTCCTTAGCCCGTTCTCTCTCCCTCTCCCTTTCCCTCGCCTCCCCGCTATCCTCCCTCCTCGCCTTCCGAGCCTCCTCCCGAGGCTCTTCCCGAACCTCAGGTACGGGAACCTGCTGCACGAACGTCTCAAAGTCACCCAGACCAATATCCGGACCTGAAGCCTGGTCTCCCAAACCGCTGCCCTGTGTCGGAACTCCCCCATCCATACCTAATCCCGAGCCTCCCGAGCCGCTTCCAGCAGTAGGCATGGCAAACGCATCAAAAGGATCGGGAACAGCAGCAGCAGCAGCAGCAGAGGCAGGGGCGCCTGTACCAAATAACGGGTCGACTCCAAACGGGTCAGCAGCAGCAGCGGGCGCAGCAGAGGAGGAGTGCGACGGCATGGGCGAGGGGCCTCCCTCTTCGGGGAATAGTCCCCCAGCGGTGCTCGTGGGCTTGGCGGAACTGAGGGGGGATGGGGGGAAAGGGGGAGGGATGGAGGGAAGGGGGGAATGGGATGGGGGGAATGGGATGGGTGGAAGGGGGCAAGGGGATGCGGGGAAGGGAATGTGGGGAAGCTGTGACAGACATGGTTGCGACGAGTAACGAGGGCATGGGCGAGAGGCCTCCCTCCCTCTCTCTTCAGGAAACATCCCTCCCACTAACGAGGTAGACGGGCCCGCAGTGGTGCTCGTGGGATTGGCAGAACTGAAGGAAAATGGAGATGTGGCGAGTCAAGGAGGGTTGGGGAAGGATCGTGAGGGATGGGGAGAGTCAGGTTGGTTAGCGGCGCACATCTTAGGAGGAGAAGGGGAGGACTTTCGGTCCCATGAGCATGCCTACCGCAGTGGACGGACAGAGAAACTGAGTGTGCGAATCCGAGTGTGCCTTTCCATTTGAACGCGCGCCTAAAGCTGACCAACGCGAGAAGCGGGGGGTGGGAGACAATCTGATACGGTATGATACCAAACATTCTTGTAGTGCGCACTGACTACCTCAACTAGCACACCGCGTCCCGAATCGTTAGCATTGTCACGACCCTGAAATCTCGACACTTGAAGGGGCGAAGCATTCTTTCCTGCTCCAGGTAAACATGGGGCCGCGATCTCCAACTTACGCCGTTCTGGGGATCAGTCGCGGGAGCCGCGATCGACGACGGCCAAGATCGCCCATCTCATTCCGCACTTGGGTATTCTTCACCCAGGTAACAGATTTGAGACTTCTGTAAACCAGAACTCCAACGAATTTCGCTTTTGAGATTTCTCGGAAGCGACTTCAAACCAGCTCGGACTTGTTAAGTTCACCGAATGATTTGGGCCGAGAAACACCACTGTATATCATCATGCAACATCGCGTTCCGGCTTTTCATGTCCGCGCACTTTCAGAGTTCACCAGTTACCCTCTCCCCACTCCATACCTGCCGAATCCAGCCAGAAAATCGCCGTCCGCGTGTAACTGTTCATGTAGCACGAGAAATCACCGTACCTGTCGAATCCGGTCAACAAATCCTCCTCCGCGTGAGCAGCAAGCACCGAATTGTGAGACGTGTATAATACTTGTTTCCTTCCCCCCCCCCCTCGTACCTGCCGAATCCGGCCAGCAGATCGAATCCGCGTGTACCTGCTCTTGAGGCGCGTAAGAAATCAACGTACCCGAATCCCGCCAGAAGGTCGTCGTCCGCGTGAGCAGGAGGCACCGGCGACGGATCGCGCCGCTCTTTCGCCGACGACGTCGCAGACGACGACGAAGGCGGCATTTCGAACCCCTGGCTCATCAGCTCGTCAAACGCCGACGCTGTCGCCGCCACCCCCCCGCCGCCGCCGCCGCCGCCGGTAGATCCTGACGAGAGATCCTCGGTCACGGACGGCGACGATCTGCCGGAATGCCCGGATCTCGTGGGGGTTTGGCCGCGACTCGACGTGCTCGCGCCCGCTCCGCTCTTGCTCCCGCCCGCTCCGCTTCCGCCTCCGAGCCCGAAATCCGCCACTCCCAGCCCCGCGAACGCGTTGTTAGACAGACCGGTAGTCGCGCCGCGACTCCCGCCGCTACTACCGCCACTGGCCATGCCTTTTCCAAAGGAACCCATGCCGCCGCTCATGCCGCCTCCCATGCCGCCACTCATGCCGCTACCCATGCTGCCACTCCCCCCGCCACCCATGCCACCACCCATACCGGCAGCCGGTTTGTTCATCCCACCTCCTAGATTTCCCATGCCTCCTCCTGCTCCTCCCATTCCTCCTCCCATGCCTCCCAAATTCCCCATACCCCCCAAGTTTCCCATACCTCCCAAATTCCCCATACCTCCTAGATTTCCCATACCTCCCGCCGAACTCCCACCCATACCCCCGGCCACTCCTCGACCCATCCCTCCCCCCGTGCTTCCCCCCAATCCGGAACCCACACCGCTGCCGCCCATCTGGCCTCCCCCGATTCCTCCGCCGCCGACACCCCAGCTGGGTGCTGCGCCTCCCCCCATGCCTCCTCCCATCCCTCCCCCCATGCCTCCGCCCATGCCTCCCCCTGGGGGTCGCTTCGGCACCATCGGCGTGTGCTTGCCTTGTGACTTGAGGCCCGCAGCGGCAAGCACGCTCGCGAGATCATCCATGGCTGCGTTTTTTACTCTCAAGCCTTGGCCTTGCCAATTGCTTAATTTCCGGCACGAGAAGATACTAAATTAGGTTAACGCACACGGATCCTGTAACTCGCGGGAAATGCCACTCGACAGATCCTTAGTGAAGGAAATCGCAGATTTATAGAAAGGCGTCGCAATATAATGTTGTATTAGTGGAAATCCCTTTTCCAACTATCAGCCAGCTAAGCTTGCTCTGCGCGCGATCGCCGCTGCCTGCTGGCCTTTGTGGCAGGCGCGGATCCTAGAGGAGCCAGCAGCGCAGCCGCCAGCAACAGCACACCTACCACTCTAGGTTGACTGCTGCCGTTACAAGCAGGGATTGTTCGAATCTGGAGCATGGAGGTAGGGAGTGATGATGATCCCAAGGCAGCTTGGCTTGCGTCCCTTCTCACTTGAGCCTGGCTGCCTCGAAGCTTGGTCGGTTCACCCTGAAGAAGTGAAGAAGTGGGCGTAGAATACCCTGAGAATCATTCGTTGGTTCGGTCTGTCAACGCTCTGAACCGTACATTAACGTATTGAAAACTCATTAAAACACAAATGTACCGTGTACAACGTCTTTTCAAGGTTCGCAAAGGGTGTTCCACGCCAGGAGGGGCGTTTCCCTGCAGATCGGTTCTCAGCATAATACACCTGATGCGCGTTAGAGTCCCCCAGGGGTCCCTTGTGCTCGGGGCTTATATCCAATTTCAACTTTTCGAGCAGCTCGTTAACTTTGCCAGGGCCGTCGGGGGTTCTTGAAAGGCATGGGTGGTAACATCTTTGTTTTTTCCGCCTACAGTGGTGGGCAGCGTCAATTTTTGTGTTCGAATGCACCTAGTAACCACTTTAACACAGCCGTACTACAACATGACATTACATCTCAGCTCTTACTTCATCACAAGCACCAACACACCAATCGGAAACACACAACTCTATCATGACCCCCACCTCGCTAATGCAGTCACAATTAACAACCAATGTGCACGAGTCGTGCACATTGGAGAAATGTCGAGATTTATACCCCTCCTTGGTGGCACTCACAGCCGCATCTACTCTGCCGCCGCCATATAGCCGCTCATCACGGCGGGAGCACCTGCGTCAATTAGCTCCTGCCGGCGAGCAGCCTGGGCCACCCAGTCTGGGGTCGGCACCGCCATCCATGCCGGCAGGACGCGTCCGCGGTGACGTGGAGTCTCTGCCGGTGGGGTGTCCTCGTGCGTCATCGCGGGAGGTGGAGTCGCGTTAAGGTTGAGTGCAGGACTTGCGCGCTCCATGCTCGCAATGATGATGGGGTTACGGATGTCAAACAGCGCGCAGAGATCCCTGGGCGTGATGCACGCACACGCGCGTAGCCAATTAGCATTTCGCACGCCGCTCGAGCCGTGCGACGTGCTTCGCGCGTCGCAGGGCTGCTATCGTCGTACACAGCCTGCATCGACGCATGCGCCTCCCACATGTGTGCCGTCTGCGCCAATGCCGGCTCCATCGCCAGGGGGTCCTCGCCGGGCTCGGCGCACGTCGGTTGGTTGTCATCAATGCCGACAAACTCCTCCGCGGCCATCGCCAACGGCCCGAGGCAGAGGCGGTCGTTCAGAATGCCGACGTCGTTGACATGATCGTCCAGGCCGATGTCACCGCCAGCCGGCATCTGAGGGTCGGCGGTCTGCTCCTCGTGCGGGAGTTCCATCGCCAACGCCCGCGGGAGGCACCCGGTGCGCCACCAGCAGCGCTGGATAGTGCTCCTCGGGATGTTCATCCACGTGTCGTGGAGCCATTCCACCATGAGACGGAGATTCGGTTTGAGCCTTCCTGCCGCCGATGTCGCGCCGTCGACGGTCCACATGCCGTTGAAGGCGCGGAGCCAATGCAGTTAGAATATATCTCTAACTGCCTGTAGCTGTAGTTAGTGTAGTTATTGCTTCATTGTTGGTGGTGCACCTCTTGTTCTTGTTCTCTCACTTATATGTTCCTTGTTTGCTATAGTGAACCTCTCTTTTCTCCTTACCAACTCTCTCGACCTTCTGGCCTAGGCTACTAAGCCTAGGCCCTAATACTCCTCTCAACATGGTATTCAGAGCAGGTACCTTCCTGCTGCATTCCTTAACGGGCCCACCAATTTGCTTCCGCTGCCTATCGTCCTGCCGCGCGCCTTGGGCGCGCGGCGTATTTTTCTCGCCGTGTGCTCGGGGCGCACGGCGGTTTTCTGCCCGCCGTGCGCCCTGGGCGCGCGGCGTCTTCCTGCCCCGCGCGCGGCCTGCTTTCACGCCGCCTGCGCGCCTGCCTCACGTCCACGCGCGGGCCGGTTTTGCCCGCCCGTACCCTCCACTTCGCGGCGCCCTGCAAGGTGCCGCTCCTGCTCGTCGCGACGCACCTGCGGGACCCGGGCGTCGCCGCTCCTGCTCGTCGCGACGCCCCTGCAGGACCCGCGCGGCGTCGCCCTGCTCATCGCGACGCCCCTGCGGGACCCGCGGGGCATCGCCACTGCTCGTCGCAGCGCCCCCTGGATGCCGCCCCTGCTCGTCGCGGCGCCCCTGGGGCGTCGCCCTTGCTCGTCGCGGCGCCCCTTGGGCGCCGTCCCTGCTCGTCGCGGCGCCCTCCCCCCTGGCTACCGCCTCTGCCTCACCTGCGCTCGCGCCAGCTTTGCAGCCGCGCGCGGGCCTACCATGCACCAGCGCCGCCCCTGGAGCAGCTGCCCCTGGACCCTGGACCAGCCGCCGCCGCCCCTGGAGCAGCCGCCCTTGGACCCAGAGCAGCCGCCCCTGGCCCCTGGAGCAGCCGCCCCTGGTGCAGCCGCCCCTGGACCTCCGCAGCCGCCCTTGGCCCCTGGTGCAGCCGCCCCTGTTGCAGCCGCCCCTGGACCCAGAGCACCCGCCCCTGGCCCCTGGAGCAGCTGCCCCTGGTGAAGCCGCCCCTGGACCTCAGCAGCCGCCCCTGGACCCCGCGGCTCCGACCCTGCAGCAGCCCGCAATGCCGCCCCAGGGACCCCGCGAGCCGCCCCAGCAGCAGCCCACGGCGCCGACCCTGCAGCTGCATGCGCCGCCGCTCCTGGACTCAGTACGGCTGCCTCCCTGTGCTGCCTGTTGCTGCCCGTGCCTTTGCTGCCTGTTGCCGCCCGTTGCTGCCCGTGCCGCCCGTTGCTGCCCGTGCCTGTGCTGCCCGTTGCCGCCCGTTGCTGCCCGTGCCTGTGCTGCCCATTGCCGCCCGTTGCTGCCCGTGCCTGTGCTGCCTGTTGCCGCCCATTGCTGCCTGTGCCTGTGCTGCCCATTGCTGCCTGTTGCTGCCCGTGCCTGTGCTGCCCGTTGCCGCCTGTTGCTGCCCGTGCCTGTGCTGCCCGTTGCCGCCTGTTGCTGCCCGTGCCTGTGCTGCCCTTTGCCGCCCGTTGTTGCCCGTGCCTGTGCTGCCCGTTGCCGCCCGTTGCTGCCCGTGCCTGTGCTGCCCGTTGCCGCCCGTTGCTGCCCGTGCCTGTGCTGCCCGTTGCCGCCCTTTGCTGCCCGTTGCCGCCCGTTGCTGCCCGTGCCTGTGCTGCCCGTTGCCGCCCGTTGCTGCCCGTGCCTGTGCTGCCCGTTGCCGCCCGTTGCTGCCCGTGCCTGTGCTGCCCGTCGCCGCCCGTTGCTGCCTGTGCCTGTGCTGCCCGTTGCCGCCTGTTGTTGCCCCTGCTGTGCTCCACGCTGTTGCCCTGCATGCGCGGCTGCCCTGCCTTGCTCCGCGCTGTTGCCCTGCACGCGCGGCTGCCCTGCCCTGCTCCGCGCTGTTGCCTTGCATGTGCGGCTGCCCTGCTCTGCTCCGCGCTGTTGCCCTGCACACGCGGCTGCCCTGCCCTGCTCCGCGCTGTTGCCCTGCACGCGCGGCTGCCCTACCCGTGCCTATGCTGCCCCTGCTCTTCCCCCTCCCCCTTCTTCGTCTCCCTGCTGCGCGTGCAGCCGTGGAACGGAGGCTATGGGGGTGACGGGTATGGGGGTGATGGGTGTGTGTGATCCCCTTCCCCTCCTCCTCCTTTCTCTCCCACTGCTGCAGCTGCCACTGAGGGGGTGGGTGGGTGTGAGGGTGTGGGGGAGCTGGGGGAGAGGTGCTAGGGTTGTCGAGGAGTGTGGAAGGGGGATTTGGAGGACTGGGGAAGGTTCCAGGAAGCAGCCGCCTTGGAGCCAGCAGCTTCACCTGCCAGCAGCTTCTCCTCATATAGTCCCTCCTCCTCCCGACTCCCTCTCTAGTTCTGCCTCTTGCCTCTGTTTGCTGTTATTTGGCTTTACTCTGCTTGGTGTACCCATTCATGAGGTGTTGCTGCACAGACTCTTGCTGCAGGCAGTTATGGGGGAGTGTTAGAATATTTCTCTAACTGCCTGTAGCTGTAGTTAGTGTAGTTATTGCTTCATTGTTGGTGGTGCACCTCTTGTTCTTGTTCTCTCACTTATATGTTCCTTGTTTGCTATAGTGAACCTCTCTTTTCTCCTTACCAACTCTCTCGACCTTCTGGCCTAGGCTACTAAGCCTAGGCCCTAATACTCCTTCTCTCAACAAATGCTGGCGGTACCGCGCCTTCGTCATCGCGATCATGCCCTGGTCAAGGGCCTGAGTGAAGCAGGTGGTGTCCGGCGGTAGGTACACGAGGCGCACATTCTTGAGCGCGCGTGTGCGGAAACCGAAGAGATCTTCGGTGATGGCGCCCTCGGTTGTCAGGGTGTGACTGCTAGCGTTGTCGAGCAGCACGACGATGTTGCGCCCCTCAGCGTGCATTACGGTGTCCATCTGCTCGATGAAATGCGTTAACAACTATCGCGCACGGGGGGGAATTGGCTGGGGGGGGGGGGGATGGGGGCCGACATGTGAGGGAATGTATAAATCCGTTAACATTGATCGCACGGGACGGAAACACGAAGATGTCGGCGTGTTTTGAAACAGTGTAAGTAGACTCACCGACTTGGTCATCCACCCCTTAGCCGTGTTGCGCCAGTAGCAGTATTCCTCGGGGTCGAAGTCGGGCCTGAAATCGTGAGGGCGCTTTGCCTTGGAGATGACGAGCGGGCGGAAGGCGTGCGAACCTTCCGCGTTAACCAGTAACCCGACGGTCAGGCGTTCCTTCAGGAGCTTCCTGCCAGCCGAGCGGCCCGTGCCGTAGGTCTTGCGCGGCAGCACGGAGATGTACAGCGCGGTTTCATCAAAGTTGAAAGTGTCTCGCGGGCGCACGCCGAGATGCATGAGAAGCTGCAGAAGCTTCTCCTTGTTAGTGCGCACGGCGTTCAAATCCTGGTCGGCCACCTCGCCGACAGCGCTCATGCACCGGACACCCTGGCGGCGCAAAGCACGACGGACCCATCCGATGGAGCAGCGAAATGTCGCAGGCGCTCCGTTCGCACGAGCCATAGTCGCGACGTGGTCGCGAATCTTCGCCAGAGTCAGGGGAACGCCAGCGGGGCCGGCATTGGCAATCCAACGTGCCATCGCAAGTTCCAGCTCGGGGTATGCCCCTGCACGCGCGCGAATGGCGTCGACCACATCATCAGGGATTCTCCAACGGTCGACACCTTTCAACACACGACCAATGGTTGAATGGTCAAGCCGCACCCCAAAGCGCGTGAAGCACCAACGGACGAGATCAACATGGCGCAACAGCGGGTTGGCCACATGGTGGGCACAAATAGCCCTCTTGATATGCAGAGCGAGCTGGGCCCGATGGTAGAGTCGAGACATTGTGTATCTCTGTTGGTTTGAAGAAGGATGAGCGTGAGTGGAATGCCGCGTTGATTTATGCCATTGTGACGAGATTGCATTGGCATGGGTGTCTCGGGTCTGTGCAGTTGCTCGCACTTGGTGAGTGCGTCATTGTGTGCACATGCATCTGCCGCCTCTTCAAGGTGATGGGACTGTTAACATGAATGGAGTGTTGGCCCCGCCCTCGCTTGGGCAACGCCGACGACTTGGTCGGATGCACGGGAGTAGCAGCCGACTGTTCACAGTGGGATAGCTGCTCAACAGGTTACGTCGAGCTGCAGCGGACCGTTGTGGTGTTGCTGTCGACCAAGGAGCTCGACAGCTGCAACTGACTGGTCTATGCGACGGGTGGGCCGTCAGGGAGGTCGACGAAGCAGTCCGTCGACCTGCAGTTTGACCGGGAAGTCGACAGAGCAGTTCTGGTCGACGGAAGGGGTCCGCCGACTAGGGGGTAGCTCGACGGGAGTTGTGGTCGACCAGGAGCGCCTGGTGGTCGACCAGAGGGACCCAGTGGTCGACCGGAGGCACCTGGGGGTCGACCAGAGTACCAGGGGTCGACCAGGTCGACCGGGTAACCTGATTGACGAGTTATGCGGAGGCTCGCGAACGTCGTTGAGATCGCGATGGCGCAGGTGACTTCGGGCTGGTATCCCGAAGTCGATGTGGTTCGTCAGGCGCAGACAACAGCCGACGGATGCCCAACGAGGCAAGTCGGGCCAATCGTCTGCGCACACCTGCGAGCACGCGCACTGCTGTGTTCTACGGGGCACGCCGTCGACCTGCTTTGTTGGCAGGTCGCCCTTCTGCAGTGCTGGCGCGGCTCCTCTACGCAATGCTGGCAGGCGGTCGACCGAGCTGCGCTGGCGGTCGACCAAGCTAGCTGCAGGGTTGCTAGGTGCCTGATGTAGTCATTGTTGTCTTTGCTTCTTGGATTATTCTGGGATTCCAACCTTTGCTAGTGAAAAACTCTTGCCAATTTCTCCCGTGAATGTGCAAACACTAAGGAACCAAGCAAAGCTACGATCACCTCTAGTAGTTCGTGCCAACCCTGTAGCTCACTACCGTTGTAGAGTTAATCTTCGCAGGGACACCAGGTAACCACCACCACGAAGAGTGATGTGTGATGTTTGCAGGTTGAGAGGCTATCAAGGGGAGTGTACCGGGCACAGGCAAGGTACAGGCGGCATTTTTTCCCTCACCACAAACTGTTAGACTCACATGGTTGTGTCTAACGTGGCATGACGTAACATTATGTTACATTGGCAACGTTCTACGACTTTCGTCCAGTCATTTCGTGGGTTCGGTACCTGGCCTAAAAACCAGAATTATCCCGCGCGACGTTGGTTGTCCTTTGCTGTGTTGTCAGGTTTGGGAGTATTCACCAGGTGGATGCAAGTGGTCTCAGGTGCCTATACACTAGGTGCAACACCAGGGCACAAAACCCACGGGTGCATGGTTTCCATCTGGTGCAAGGCAATTTCGCGTGCAGGGGGTGAGCATCATGTGTAGCCACGGTTTTTCCGGTTTTACTGTGTGATTGGGTGCTTTTTTTTTTTGGCGGAGTCCCAAGGGGGGCACCTGCTCAAGCTTGGCGCGGTGTAAGGCAAGGGAGGGAGTGAGAATGGCAGGACGCGGGGGCGGCGCAGAAGAGGAATATGGGGGAAATGGGTCCATGCAAAGGATGGATCGGTAGCGCCATGTGGATTGGCGCACGCCTGACTTGCGTTGACGCCATTGGTGTGAACGCTTCGTGGTGTCGAAGAGCTCCATGTTTGCTTTATTCGCAAGGCTGAGTAACTAGTAACAAAGCTTTTTCATTCGGTACGACGCTGTCAGAATTCCGCCGCGCACGAATCAGCGTGGGTGGAGCCGCGAGCGCACTCCAACTCTTGACCGAACGAATACGTGTGCGACCGAAACGAGCCCCTGGTTCGTGTCGCACCCTCACCTAGTGACTGCATCCAGTTTCGCGCCAATAGTGGCCTCTTGGATAAAACAATAAGACGAATTACTTGGAGAGTACACTCCGTGACTCCTAACGTGGGGATAATGGACCATGTATCATTGGGGCTGTTCGCTTGCACCATTATAGCAAAAAACAACGGTGCTGTTCGCCAGCAAATCGTTTCTTCAACAGAAAACGATGGCATCAGCATCGCGACCGCATATGGAAACGGGGGCGGAACCCTCCTCCGAGGTTTGGGCGAAATGCCGCCCGAGAAACTAAGCGCGCCCGAGAGGCGAAATTTCTCAACCGCATCGGGAAGGTCCATCCCCACCTTCCCCCCCAATGGCGCGAAATTTGCTCATCCCTGACCCTTGTGCTGCCCGCTGACCAAAAATTGCTCAACGTGGGTAAAAAACGCAAACAAAACACACCCTGCTCAAACACAACCCCTCGCCATGGTGCGTTTGAGAGGGAAAAATGGGGGGTATACGAACCCCCCCTTTGTTAAACTGCAGGCTTGTTCAAGGGTTACCCTCTGAACAGCAATGCGTCGGCTGTGCCACCGCTGCGCTTTGAAAAACGCGGCATGATGATGGCATGGCTAGGGGATGGCATTTTGCCTGGGGACAAGGTTTCGTCCCCACTTCCAGATGCCGTCAAACTGTTAGATTTGGTGTAGAAAAGTGGGCGTTCGCCAGATGCCCACTTTGTTTGTTGGTTTGGACGGTAGGTGAGGCTCGGCACTTTTTTTCACAGGCTGACCAAGCTGGCGGAGGTTAACGAACTCTAACTGACGGGATCAGGAAGGCGAGACCCATCTTCCTGATCCCGTCGTTATCCCGTGGTTTTTGGATATAATGGTGCTGGCGAACAGCACCAACGGGATAACGACGGGATCAGGAATGTTCCTCTCGCCTTCCTGATCCCGTCAGTTAGAGTTCGTTTACCTCCGTCAGCCGGGTCAGTCAGTGAAGAAAGTGCCGAGCCTCACCTACCAGCCAAACCAACAAACAAACTGGGCGTCTGGCGAACGCCCACTTTTGTCCACCAATTCCAATGTTTTGACGGCATATGGAAGCGGGGACGAAACTTTGTCCCCAAGCAAAATACCATACCCTAGCCATGCCATGGTCATGCCGCGTTTTTCAAAGCACAGCGGTGGCACAGCCGACGCATTGCTGTTCAGAAGTGAATCCTTGAACAAGCTGGCATTTTGACAAAGGGGGGTTCGTATACCCCCCATTTTTCCATCCCAAACACACCTTCGAAATGCCCCCCGCACATAACTTGGTCGTGAGCACGAGGTCGCGGGGGTTGTGTTTGAGCGAGGGGTGTTTTATTTGCGCTTTTTACCCACGATGAACAAATTTTGGTCAGCGACAGCACAAGGGTCAGTGAGGCTAAACATTCGCGCCACAGGGGGGAAGGTGGGGATGGACCTTCCCGATGCGGTTGCGTAATTTCCCCTTTCGTGTGCGCGAAGATGTGAAAGAACAAGGAATGAATGAACTAGCAAGCAGGTGGGTACAAGTAGGAAATCCTAAAAGTGTTGTACCCCATATTGTCTACCCCACTACAGCCTACACAGACCCTAGCATGGCCTATGCCAGCATGGCCTTGTTCTCTACGTACAGAACTGGAGGAGAACGAAGCGGCTCTCCTAGGTCACTCAGCAGGTAGGTGAGCCAGCGTAGCTCCTGTGCAGCCATGGCCCCCGCGTAGATCTCAGCCTCACAGCTGGAGCCGAGAAGAGAAGACGAGCGGGTAGACCGCCACGAAACAGAGCCGGAGCCAAGGCTGAAGGTGTAACCCTGTGACGACCGCTGCGTAGCCTGGTCATCAGCCCAAGAAGCGTCTGCGTGACCTGTGAGGACCACTGGACATCGCCCTCCAAGCACTAGCCCCATGCCCGACGTACTGCACAAGTAGCGCAACACCCTCTTCGCTGCAGTCATGTGCTCTGGTCGGTGTCTATCAGGAGCAACATAGCGTGCCAAGATGCTAAGAGGGTATGCTAGGTCAGGTCGTGTGCAAGTCATCAGGTACATGAGGCAACCAACAAGCTCTGGGTACGGGCCACTCGGCTCTACGGACTCATCCGAAGGCAGAGCTGAGAGCGAGTGGCGAGTAGACAGAGGAGTGGCCTGAGGCGAGGAGTACGTGAACTCGAAGCGCTGAAAGACCCGCTGCACCATGTGTGACTGAGTCAGGGTAATGGTGCGCTGTGCTCTGTCTCGGGTGATCTGGAAGCCAAGGTGGCTGCGCAGTTCACCCAGGTCTGTGCACGTGTGTCTCTTCTGCAGCTCGGACTTCACGTAGGCGAGTCCAGCAGGGTCAGCAGTGGCAAATACAAAGTCGTCGACGTACACAAGGATGTAGAACGGCGGCAAGGAGGTGTCGGTGCGAAGAAACAGCGACGGGTCGGCAGTAGACGGAGCAAACCCAAGAGCCGCAAGTGTAGTCCTCAGTGTGTCGTGCCACTCACGTGGCGCCTGGTGGAGACCGTAGACTGGCCGCCGGAGGCTCCACTGGGTACCAGGAGGAAACGACCCAGTGAAGCCAGGTGGGCGGCGCAGCCAGATCTCCTCGTGCAGGCTGCTGTGCAGGAAAGCTGTGCTGAAGTTAGAGAGTGAAGCTCGTAGTCGCGCTGAGCGGCTATGTGCAGCAGCACCCGAAGAGTGGTCATCTTCGGGGTGGGAGAGAA